ACTTCAGTAGGAGAGGGGAAGTAAGGCCTGAGAAGTGAGAAACACCCATAGCCCAACTTTGCCACTAGGGAAGTCTGATCCTTCTGGAAGACTTTGATGCTTTATTGGTGTTAATTGTGGCAATGAATGGGCACTATATACCCTGGTGCAGTACTCAGCCTCTCTGAGGGGCAGATCTGGTGTTGTTAGTGTTTTGTGTGCCTCTGCATTAAAATGGGATTAATAAAATCTATTAGCCCTGAAATGCCACCTTCCACACAGAAAGTTGGAATTTCACAACTTGTAAGGGGAATTTTACTCAGAGAGATTTTACTCAAGTATCAAACACATACAGAGACATACAACCTTCAAAACAGTAAGGACAAAAAAGATGAGACCCACAATGTACTATTGTTCTCTACTTTCATAGATGGGTAAAAGTGCAAAAAGAAGAACCAAAAACCTCTTTCTCAGTCATTCCCCTCAATTTCTCTGATGGAAGAAGTCTATTTGGATATCCAAGCCTCATATTACCACAATAAGATCAAAACTTTGCATGATTTTAGTGCAAAATTGATACCCCTCATTTGTTTTACAAAAGCAGGCAGCAGGCATTGTTTCAGGTAAGCAATTAAACCAAGCAAGTAGAGAACAGGTCACTTTGCTGCCCTCTCACAGGCTCTGGGGCTGCTGAAATGCCTTCTCCTCCCTCTGCTTTGGTCTCACTATTTGCAGTCAGGAGCAGAGCCAGCACTAAGCCCGGGCTGCCTGTGCCAACACATGGGGGCCCCTTGCTTGAACAACCACTTAACAGGGGAAAGGATGCATTTCTTTTCTGAGGTTTGAAAATGGTACTAAAAAGAATCATTTCAGTGCCTGCACATAAGTAGTATTTTAAAATGAGGTAAATGATTTGATAATTTTAAGGAAGATAAAAATTTTCTTTCATTTTCACAACTTCCTACAAATGCTTTTTTTCTGATGTAGGCTCTGCATTGATTTTGCAGAGCATGTGTAATTGCAAGACTTGTTTCTGAAGGAGGCAAATGAAACTTTTTATAGCATTTTCAGGCTACCCATAAAAGTGCTGTATTTAAGCTAGGCCTAATTTATCAGGTTTATTGGTAGTATTACTATAATCATCAGGTTCTAAAATTAAAGGTAGCCCACCTCAGGCTAAAAAACCTGTGGAGATCCTCAGCATTAACAGTAATTTTCTTCTTCATTTTCTTTGACTACAGAAGTCAGAATGGCTGCTCTCAGTCCTCCAGCATAAGGTAGGAGTATCTCCTAAATACAAAGCAGCAGAAAAAGAGAATAAGAAAAAAAATTTTGATTTACATTTTGTCCAAAATACCTTTCTCCTCTCCCTTTAACATTTTCCTTTGACCCTGAACTTCTTTTCCTTAAAAAACTCCCATCTTTCTGTGTACTTCTTGTTAGCTCGTGATTGTACAGCCTGGCTGTAGGGCACGACCGGTGAATCATAGCAGCAAATGTCAGCAGGAAAAGATCTCCAGTAGCCCATTAGCTGTTTGAGTTCATATTTATTATTTACTGAATGACCGTGAATAATGAACAAGTTGCTCTAAATGATTGCAGATTTGCGCCTAAATCTCTATTAAAAAGGGAAAATCAGTTGAAGCAATTACAGAATTTATTTACAAGGAAAAAAATTCCCTTCATCTCATTAATACTACACAGAGAAGATGTAGCAACAGTGAGAGAAATAGAGGTAATTTGTGCAAATTGATTAGGGATGCAAAAAATGAAAACTCTGAAATGACAGAGAAGTGAAAGAAATTCTCTCAAAATGCTTCCATGGAGATATCTGCCCTAGTCTCTGTGGGCTAGACTTATATGAACATCAGTGAGTTAGAGTGATGGAGATTGTTCTCCAAGTTGTGTTTGCAGTCAGTATTTAGAGGTAAATTAGGTTAGGTAAATCCCATCCTAGCTAAATACAGCTAATCTTTGGGCTGCCTAATTTGTGCTTGAGTTTGGGCCTAATTTTTTGCTGAAGAAACTGGATAAGGTCAGGAGTGGCCCTGGTGCAAAAGTCTGCAACTTTAGGCATGTCCTCCTCAATGTAAATGATAATTCTGTACCTGTCATATAAATGGACAGAGAAATCACAAATTGTACAATTGAAGGAAAATACCAGCTCCTAGTACACAGATTGTGTAGCAAACAACAAAAGGAACCTATCCTAAAATAGGAAAGTATCCAAATATTTTTCTCTTGGCTTTGTGGAGCACATGTGGTGACGCCTCTTCATGCATTTACTTGAGCAGTTCTCTAAATCAGATTCCATTTTAGGGTAGTCCTGAAGATTATGTAAGAGCAAATTGTGGTTTTATCTTTCCTGCCTAAAGAAGGAATGTGGTATCAGAAGTCATGTTATCAGGCATTATCCAAAGCCTTATACCTGTTAAAATGTCATGTCCAGCATCATATTTAACTAGCTCTAATTTCCTTCTCTCATTGCACATTCAAAGGTTCCCCAAATTAATATGGCTATTTGAGTATTTTTAGGCAAGAGCCTATTAATGCTGGGGTGGTTTTTTTTCACAAAAACATGCTATAGCTAAAGCTCATGATGGAAGTAATTTGTAATATTCAATGACCTCATTTTATTCTGTTTTGCTCACTCAATGCTAATGCGTATGATGCCATGTGAAATTCACAGACGAGCCTGTCTGCAGGACTCATGGGAGCCATAAATGGATTAAACCTCTCACTCCCTACTTTGGCAAGTGATCAGTTACATTTAAATAAAGGTCAGTCTGTCTTTACAAAGAACACACTGAAAGCAAGCTTAATAGCTTTCCCTGCTGAGCCTAGAACATAACTATTTGAAGCATAATTAGCAACAGGGTGCCAGTCACTGATTGTGCTTTTTGCTTGATTTTATGTCTGGGGAGTTCCAGTATTCCCCATTAGCTTTAAGAGGGGGCACAGTGCTAGTTATCAAATTGACAGTCTTGACCTGGCCTCTGAAAGCAGCTGTAAAACACTGTTGGGGAAAATTAAGATGAATGCCAAAGCCAGGTCTGTAATACTGCTACAAATTGGACATTTGAGGTCCATGCCACGACTCTAAATAACAAAATTGGTAAAATATCTGATTTACATAAGAGTGTGGACTTCATTACACTAAACATCAGGTGATAAGGAGATACACCAGTCGTCCTATTGTCTCATCTTATGAGATCTGTATTGTGACTTCTTTATGAAATACTCCATACCTATTCTTTTCAGCATAACGGAGTGACCAGCTCTGCCATCTGTCAAAATACAGATTTCAAGAAGGGTGGAGTGAATCAGCAACAACTGCCCCTACAGTAAAAGGTGCTGACCACAAAAGGGTTGTTTTGTCAAGTTAACTAAATATTTAGCCTGTATGAGGCATTTAAGAATTAACATGATTATAGACTCACAGCATCACAGAATGGTTTGGGCTGGAAGGGACCTTCAAGATCATCTAGTTCCAACATGCCTAATAGATCTTGTGGTGTTCCACTTCTTCAAAATACCTCATTTGCCTTAGGTTTATGGGCTGGTATTTATATCTCTGGTAGCAAAAGTGATAATTGTCTACAGGGGAACAGTACAGAGCTGATACAGCAATCTTGGTACTCGGCAGGCAGCCTGAAATTCTAAGAGAGATCTGTGAATTACCTTGACCTACCTGACTGGAGCATCAGCTTTGAAAGTTCAGTGATTGCACTTCAGTGTTATCAGCAACTAATTTAGCACTGATCATTTTATCTACTACTATCAGAGAAGATGGGTAAGAGCAAAACACAGTGGACTGACTTTTGGGAATTTCTGGAGATAATCCAAGAGCAGACCAGAGAAATACACAAGTGACAGCAAAACCAGCAAAAGAATGAGGAGGAGGAGGAATTAAAAGGCAGCAAAGGGGCTGGGATTATATGGAAAAGATCTCTTAAGTAAAGATAAACGTTATAATAAATTATTATGAGAAAATATTACCATCTCACATTTTAGGTGTGATACAAAGACTATATTCTGTTTATCTCTGTGTAAATCGTCAAACTACATTTACTTCAGCTCCTCTCACCTGGTAGATGGTCAATGGCTGGATTCCCAGCCCAGGATCACTACCAGAAAGCAGAGGTCCGTGTCCTCCAAATGCATCTTCACAACATAGAAACTGTAAGAGGAAGATGACCAACCAGGGATTAAAATAAAAGCATGTACTTTTCCTGATTTACCTGCTCTTGGGAGTTAAACATAGGATTTTAGGTCATTCCTTTTGTGAATGTATATCCATTTTAAGAGTCAGTTAAATACATTACAAAATGTAGGCATTGCCAAGAAATATAGGGCTGTATTTGTTTTACAAGCTCTCAGATATATAAATAAGACCAATGCCTTAAGCAGCTCCATATCAGTTTTACCACTCTCCTTCTCTAAAATTTATTTGTGCTTTTATTTGTTTGTTTCATTTCTAGGATTTCTTTTTCCTGGTGGAAAATTTGTATGGGAGGTGGAGAAATCAGTAACTGATTTAATTGATCATTTTCAGTTTGTGTGGAATTTTCATTTTTTACAGATTTTCTACAATGCAACCAATTAATGCTCTGCTTCCAGCACAGGCACTTCAAGCTCATATTTCTTTGTTTTCACCACAGGTCAGATACCATCACCAGGAAAAACTAATTTGAAAGCATCTTCCATCACAGGCACTCGGAAATAACGAAACAAAACAGCCAAGCAGAGTAAAAAAATCCTGTTTCTTTAACCCATGGATCCTGTGCCAGCAGTGCAGAACTCTCCTCAAGCTCTCACAGTAAGGTTTGCTATGCAGGTAGCAAACGCACTCCTGTGGTTTACACCTCCCTAATCATTTCTCTCTTCTACAGGACATTTCCTTCAAGCACTGGTAGCATCCAGCTGTGTCTCCTTTGAGCCTTTTAGCATGTTGACATTACTTTCTTCTGTGTAATTTGGTATTTGAATACATTGAACACTACCTTTGTTCTCTATTGTAGGTCATGGGTTGTATGGGACTTTTGAAATGTTGTCCTCCTGGAGAAAAACTAGAGAAGACCAACACGTTAAAGAGAGGACTGCAGCTGTATTTGCAGACTCCATGCTCTCGTTTTCTCTCACCACTGCCATGTACCTGGTCACTTTTGGAATAGGTGCCAGTCCCTTCACTAACATTGAAGCAGCCAGGATTTTCTGCTGCAATTCCTGTATTGCAATTTTCTTCAACTACCTCTATGTACTCTCCTTTTATGGTTCCAGCCTGGTGTTTACTGGCTACATAGAAAACAACTACCAGCATAGTATCTTCTGCAGAAAGGTACCAAAGCCAGAGGTATTGCAAGAGAAGCCTGCATGGTATAGGTTTCTTCTGACAGCCAGATTCAGTGAGGACACAGATGATTCAGAGGAAACGAACACTTACGAGAGTCATCTTTTGGTGTGGTTCCTGAAACGCTATTATTGTGACTGGATAACAAACACTTATGTCAAGCCTTTTGTAGTTCTCTTTTACCTTGTTTATATTTCCTTTGCCTTAATGGGCTACCTGCAGGTCAGTGAGGGGTCAGACCTGAGCAACATCGTAGCGACCGCGACTCGGACCATCGAGTACACGACCGCCCAGCAGAAGTACTTCAGTAACTACAGCCCGGTCATTGGGTTCTACATCTACGAGTCCATCGAGTACTGGAACACCAGTGTCCAGGAGGACGTGCTGGAGTACACCAAGGGCTTCGTGAGGATATCTTGGTTCGAGAGCTACTTAAATTACCTTAGGAAACTCAACATATCTACTGGATTGCCGAAGAAGAATTTCACTGATATGTTGAGGAACTCCTTCCTGAAGACCCCTCAGTTTGCCCATTTTTCAGAGGATATCATCTTTTCCAAGAAGTACAACAATGAAGTTGATGTTGTGGCCTCCAGGATGTTCTTGGTGGCCAAGACAATGGAAACCAAGAGGGAAGAACTTTATGACCTCCTGGAGACCCTGAGGAAGCTCTCTCTCACCTCCAAGGTGAAATTCATCGTTTTCAATCCATCATTTGTGTACATGGATCGTTATGCCTCTTCAGTGGGAGCCCCCTTACAAAACTCCTGCATTAGTGCTTTATTTCTGCTCTTCTTCTCTGCATTCCTGGTGGCAGACTCTCTGATCAATGTCTGGCTCACTCTAACTGTTGCCTCGGTTGAATTTGGAGTTATAGGTTTTATGACCTTGTGGAAAGTGGAACTAGATTGTATTTCTGTGTTGTGCTTAATTTACGGAATTAATTATACAATTGACAACTGTGCTCCACTGTTATCAACCTTTGTCCTGGGCAAAGAGTTCACAAGAACTAAATGGGTGAAAAATGCCCTGGAAGTGCATGGGGTAGCTATTTTGCAGAGCTACCTCTGCTATATTGTTGGTCTGATTCCTCTTGCAGCTGTGCCTTCAAATCTGACCCGTACACTGTTCAGGTGCTTGTTTTTAATAGCATTAGTCACCTTCTTTCACTGCTTTGCCATTTTACCTGTGATACTGACTTTCCTGCCACCCTCCAAGAAGAAGAGGAAAGAGAAGAAGAATCCTGAAAACCGTGAGGAAATAGAGTGTGTTGAAATGGTGGATATGGATAGCACCCGAGTGGTTGACCAAATTACAACAGTCTAACTTGATTTGTTGGTTGCTTTTTTACACTAGGTCTTACTGAGAAAAAAAAAAAGAAACCAGTACTGACTAAATGTGTGGGGACAGGAAGATTGGAGGTTTTCCCCTCCCTCCTCTAAGCTAAATCCAGGAATATTCAAAATTATGGGAGAAATTAAAAATAAATTAAAAAAAAAAAGCAAGAGCCGGGGTATTGTACCTTGCTCAGTTCCTATAACAGGTAATATGGGAGAATTTGCACACCCATGCAAAGAGAGGTTAAATTTTAGATGCATGAAGTAAGATCTAATGGAAGAAGTTGGGTTCTTAAGCAGTCGTCTGCATCGCCTGTACTGCAGATGCTGCAATTATTGTGGCTAAACCAAATCATGTTGAAAGGTCAACTGTCAAGGCTGAAGTAGCACTAAATGTTCGCTGGATGTAAAGGCTTTACAAACTTTCTGCACAGCAATAACTCAAGTCAGTGAGTCAGCTCTTATAAGTCTTTGCCATCACATTTAATATTTCTTTTCTCCCCTAATCTAAACATTTATGCAAGACTATATAAAAAATAGCAAACTGTACTGGGAAAGAAGGCAGTACACAGCAACCAAGTGCTTTCCAAACACCTTTATGTTATGAATCACTTTTTTTTTTTTTTTCTAAAAGTATCATTATTTTAAAATTGAAATCATCCCTTGTAACATTTTTAATCATGGTTTTATAGATGTTTCTTTTTCTTATAAAAACAAAAAAGAACAAAAAAAAGGAACAAAAAAATCCATGTGACTCTGTCACTCTAGAAAATATATAATTCTATTTTATACATGTCTCGCTACTAGCTAAACATGTAATCTGCTTTACCAACTGTATTTTGTTAGCACTCTACTAAGACATGTGAGTGGATCTAGCAGCAGACAGAAGATGGTGTACTGAATATTTCAGCACCAAAATCCATGATACAAACCTCAAATACTAAAATGTCATCGAGAAAGTGAATGTTAGGGCTCTTTTAGTGAGAGCCTATTTCAGGCCATTCACTGGTAATGCACACTAAGAGGATTAGTGGGTAGTTTTACATAATGTATAACTTAATCCCTCAATCTTCCTAGAGTACCTGTAAAGCAATAGACCTTGCAGCTATGGGCTCTTCCAGGAGACAGTAGACAGTAAGAGTTGAGTGGAACAAACTGAAGGTTGGGTCTGTGGTTTATCAACAGCAAGTTCAACAACGTGCCCAAAGAGCCCATATCTAAGGGGCCTATTGAAAACATCACATGTGAGAGGGGAAAAAAAAAACCACCCAAAAAACCAACTTAAAAAGATTACATTACCAAGTCTTTTTGGAGCCATGAGTTCTAAATCAATAATTCTGTCAGCATCTGTGATGTGGAGTAAAACAGATAAAGCAGCATCTCTTCCCTCCTGCACCCCCTCCACCCTTAAGAGCGACAGGCTCATTGCTGTAAGGTTTTATCATGTGGTTGAACCCCAGTGGGGATATGTAAGCCAATTCTGTAGGTTTTGCTGAGAGTATTCTGACCATACATTGCCTGTGAAGCCCCAGTGGCAGGAGCTGGCTGGTGTGTGTCAGGTGGGTTCATATGGACTGTTGCTTTGTGGTGCAACATGAATGTATTCCAACCAGACTCCCTTCTGCAGCTCGTCTGGAAACTAAGAGCACTTGAAAGGTTTTCAGCATTTGGCACAAAGTTTGCTTCAATGTCAGTATCTGGAGGGGGAGGGATATTGCAAGAGCCTTGGGGCTTGGAGCACTGGGAGCACCATGGCTTGGGAGGCTGCCTGTGGTACCTGTACAGCCACTAGGACATCTGTGGTCACAAAACCAGGATGTGCTTCATTGCTTGAAACATCTCTAGCATCCAAATCCCAGTGACCCCCAAATGCCCTGTACAAAACCTGCAAATGCCACCTACTGAATATTAATTTTCCAGCAAAGAGATATTTCTGACGCATCCTTCCTAGCAGAAAATAAGATAACCAGATATTTTGCCCTGAAGCAAAATATTACATTCTCACTAGCAAAACAAATCAGCAGAGCAGCTGGCAACACTTACTTTCCCCTGGATAAGTCCCTTCCCTGACCAGAAGAAAGGAAACTGTGTCCAGGAATGCACAGGCTCTTTGCTTAAGTAAACAACAGTTGCTTCAGTAGCAGCTGGGAAGCTGTAACAACAACTTCGGCCTTGGCAGAACACAGGCAGACCCCTTGAAGACAGCCAAATGAATGTAAGGCTAGGAAAAAGATCTGTTTCCCCTGTTTTTTTAGACTCAGGCTTGGGGCTATGTTTTCCGGCCAAAAAATATTCCTTAAATGTACTTCACTGTAATTTTCTGTGATCATCAGTATGTTGTTTAAATACCAGTCACCCTGTCCCCTGGCTGTTCAACAGGCAGCTGCAGTGGCTTTTAAACTTCTGAGGGCATTAGCGAATTAGCTGAGAGTTACAGAGGAACTGCATTTCCTCTGCAGTGATCCACTGACTTGTGTGACACTTGGAAATGGGACACGTGTCAGAGAGGCTGTTTGTAACCTGCCGAGAGGAATACATGGCAAACACTGATTTTACACCTCTGCTATCCCTCTGCTATTCACTTGCAAACACCAGATGCCAAGATAGTTACCATAAACCTCCTCACATCTAATTGCAGTGCATAGACCGGGAGCATCTTTAAAGAGATGTCCAAAGACAAGCTTGCAGTTTCACAGATCTCTTATTAAATCTCACCATGTGAGGCCTTCAGAGATCTTCAAGAAAGGTGATAAAACCAGGGATAAAGTAAAAAAAATTACTTCTCTATCTCCAAACCTGTCAGAAAAAGGATGTGGAGGCATTCCTGTGACAAAGTGCTGCAGAAGAGGCTTGAATGTCCACAGAAGGCAGGGTGAGAAGTCATGGAGTCTACGTCCTTGCCCCCAGAGCAGACCAACAATGTAAATTTACAGAACAGAAATTTAAATAATTTCTGAAGGATGTTTGTCCAGCCCATTCCTAAAAGTCTTTTTAAGGGCAGATTCCTTTCCCAGTAGTTCCCCCCAGTGCCATGTTACCCTCTCTAGTAACCATTAACTCCTGCTAGCCACCCAAGACTGGGATGGAGAAGAGGAGCTGTGCCCCTTTCTACACAGGGATAGGACAGGCAGGAGACTGGAGCATCCCCAAAAGAGAGAAAACCCAGAACAGAGCCAGAACCAACTTACATACATTTTTCACTGTGTTTCACATCAAGCTGCCATTCTGTTTCCCAGCACTGGCAGGGTACAGCCATGGAAGTGTCCAAGGTGCACTCAGCCCAGGTCCATGAGACTCGGCCTGGACCCTGATGTGTCTGAGGGATGCACCAAATGCTCCTTCTCTGCAGGTAGCTTGAATACCTCAACATGAACCACGTTCTCAAGGTTTCAGACTATGCTAAGCCACTTTGGCCTTCCTCCCCTTCAACCTTTTCCTCTGGAGCAATTATCTTCACCAAAGTCAATGGACCTCCCTGCACTGATTGATTAGTAGGTGCAGGTGCAGTGCTCTGTTCTCAGTCCAAAGCACTCCCAGTGGCTAACTGTGTATGAGATTTTACCCTTACTGGTGAACCTCCAGTTTGGAAGACTACCTAGGCTTAAGCAGATTTTTGTCATACTCTTTAAGTGGCTTTTCAGCCCAGGTATCACTGTGGTTTTGCTTGCAATATAGATGATCCAATTTTTTGTAAATGCATTGAGTAGAGCAGAGTATTATACACTACCAGGCACTGACTAAAATCTAACAGTGAAAATTTTAGCTAAGGCTAACAAGACGATGTAGGACTATGGCTCACTGAGCACATATATCTTCTACAAACATGAAAATTCCCATACAGTAAGGTATAGTGTACAGGATATTTTTACTACAGGGTAAGCATGGGGGAAAAGAGCCAACCTACCTGCATATGGCCCTCAAGATCAATCCAGTTTTCTTGTAATATAACTTCTGATATTGTGTTAGCACAAGTCCACTTTCAATTTACAATTACTCTAAATGGAGAAAAAAAAATAAAGAAAATTTGTTATAGCTGGAATAACTATGCCATAAACATTAATTGATGAAGACAGAATTTTCTGCCCAAAGCAGAAATATGGAAGTGTTCTAGTTAGATTAAAATTCGAGCTGGAATTGTTGAGAAAAACCTGTCTGTGAAAGAAAAAGAGCTTCTTTTCCAAAGACAAGCAAATACACTTATTATGGTCAACTGCATGGACCTGGAGGGAATTCAGTACCAAAGTGGCCTGAGGTTATGTTGAGTCACAAGAGGATTCACATCTGCTCTCAGAAGTCTTCTGAGCCAGCGCTGAATTCAGGTAAAACATGTACTGTAAATTGAAAGGTGTACTTTTAAATGTTTTTTTCTAGGCTGACTGTCCTCCTGTGAGCCATGAAATCCCACATCAGCCAACACCTTTATTTTTATTCAAGGGGAAAACAAAATGAAGTGGTGGCACAACTGGGCAGAGATCAGGGGAGTCCAGAAGGAAGACTGGCTTCTCTGAAAAACAGAGAGAGCCAGCAAAGCAAATGGGTTGTGGGAGAAGACCTGGTGACTTCAAAACTTAGCAAAGTGGTGGTTTTTCCTACTTTGTTAGCTCAGAAAGCAAGTATCATGTTCAGGGAGACACGGGGAAGGGAAGCTGAGTTAGTGGGCATCAGCTCTGGGTTTGCTGTGCTCTCCAGTTACAGCAGCTCCTCTGGCATGGTTGGGAGCTGTCAGCAGGATGGGAATTGGGAGGGGCAGGGCTGGCACTGCTGTGGGCACTGGGGATGCCAGACCAGGGGCTGTGGTGGTGCCATTTCCCTTGTCCCCATCCCACAGCCCTGCCAGCCCTGTAGGAAACCACTTTCTAGAAGCTCTTGGTTGGAAAGAATTACCCAGAACCTTTTCCTCCCCTGCCTTTACGTTAAAATCCTGATCCATAAAAATCAGATTTAGCTCTGTAGGGACAATTTAGCTCTGTAGGGACAAAGTATTTCTTCCATGGCTTTATCCCTACATTTATCACTAAAAGTACCTGTCATTTATTTTCTTATCAACATTGTGAAATAACTAAGCCTTTCTGGGGAACACACAAGTCTGATGAGAAGGAGGTGGGGAGGGGGGAGAGCCCCTTCCCTTTCCCAAAGGTAGGAAGCATCTTCCACCCATGGCCAGGCACTACTACAGGGCACCCCCAGTGACCCCAGCTCAGTGCAGTGGGGAGGACAACCTTATTCCCCCTCCCCAATCTTATTAGAGAGCAGGGAGAAGCTTTAACTCCAAATTTTGGGGGGAGATGGGCCCCAAGGAAGCCCTTGTGAAACTCATCCACTGCCAGAAAAGCGCAGTGGAAAACTTCTTGTTTGGTTGGGTTTTTTCAGAAAGAGATGGCAAAAGGATCCCAGGAGGGCGTTTGAACAGGAATTCCTGTCCATGGTGCGTGGGTTGGAGCAGAATGGCATGCCCTGCCATGCCACCCCTTGCCCTGTTGTCCTGGCACAGCTTCCTGCCTGGAGAGAGGGCACCTCAGCATCACGTGCGCCTGCCTGGGGCAGCCGCTTCTCAGGCACAAATTGTTCTGATGTCGTTGGCATTCTGCAAGTCATTACCCTTTTTTAATTTTTGGGGAAAAACAAAACAAAAAAAGATCGGCAGAAACAATTCTATATTATTTAAGCTCCAAGAAGTCTTAATCTGTGCATCAAATAAATGGCTTGCAAGATGTCAGGGGTTTTCATTTAGGCTTTTTTTAACCTATTTTTACTATTTTTGTATTAATTTAGGGGAAAAATTGTATAATGAATCTCAATGTATAGCATAAGCCTAAAATAAAATGGCTGTCTCTCTCTTTGCTTCCTGTGCTCCCAAACTGCTACAGAAATCCCATGCCATCGCCAATGCAACAAACTGATTTTCCTGGCCTAACCCAAGTAATCAGGATGAGCGTGGTCTCCAAGTCCCCACAGACAGGGGTGGTGGAGGAGTTCAGGGGCGCCTGCTCAGCACAGAGCCAGCAATGTCCCCAGGATGATGGGCATGCTGCTTCTGCAGGAGCCCCTCTTGTTCCAGGCTGCACACTGCTAGCACAGGGAAAACCACATCCATTCATTTCCATGTTATTGGGATCTAAGTGCTTTTTGGGGGTATTTTATATAATCCAGCAGCAGAACTCCAGCCTCAGCTGGCAAACCAACAGCTAAGGCAAAAATCTGAAACTGATTTGATGAAAAACTACATTTTATTTCCTCAAACAAGACCTGGACCTTCTGAGATCTGGTAGGTAGGCCTGAAGTATTACTGTTTAACAGAAGTATTGTGATTGAACAGACTTATTGCTATTAAAATTTTTCTTACCAAGACCTTACCTTTCACAAACTCAGAAGCCCCATCATCACTGAGAGACCCACCTCTCTCACCAGCACAACCACAGCTGCTGCTCCAGGATCTTCTGATGACTGTGCTCAATCATCTTCTTCCCATGCCCAAGCAGATAACCCATTTGCACTTCTTTCCTAATCTTTTGGAGAAGGAGATCAGCATCCATAAGGCCCATTTGGACCAACAGCTTCAAAGCAGAAGCAAACCGCTCCACCAAGGGATGTGGGTGACAGCTACAGGTGCTCTGTCACTTGTGACTGCAGAAATGAGATATGCATCACTTTACTGTAAAAAGCAGGTGAGCCAGATCCAATCCCAAGTCACTGCAACAAATAGCAGGAGTTTGGTGTTTTGGCTACCAAGGGCTTTCAGGCACTTTAGTTTAATGGGAAGTTTGGGTCTGCAGTTTAAAGGTGATTCCTGTCACCTATTATGGCTCTGGGCCTTGTCCCTTTCAGTCATTCTTTCTCTCATTGCCTTAAATTCAGAATCCAGAAGCACTGTTGCCAAAAATTCTGTCTGAAACTGAAACTCAAATGATATCAATTTTTCTAATTGCTAGTGTGATGTAAGAGAGGCTATGTCTAAGCATCACACAGGAACTCAAAAGAAAAACCCCCATACCAGGCTGGTGTTCCTCATTTGTATTAGCAGGAGCTCCTTCGTGCAAATCTCCCCTGATCTAATTTACAAAATTCAGCCTTTCCAAATGTATAATCAGCACGTTTCATTCTGAAAGTTCATCTGTACCTGTGCCTTCAAAATAAAAGCATGTTAAATCTGATTTTTAACTTATCAAGGAATATAGTTCATCCCAACAAATGTTCGTGAGCAGCATGTCTGAGTCCCACATGCAATTCTTACATTGCTGCATATAAGTCAGAATATTTTCACTCCCAAATGCCACATTTCCTTATTTATACAACTAATTTGCACACAGAAACTAGGCAGGATTGTGGACCCAAAACAGTGAAGCGTGCTCATGTTTACATTCATCCTGTATATATCACTTAAACATTTAAAGGTTAGTGGCTATATGCAACTCATTGAGAAGAACAGGATTTTTTTGCTGACTCCAGTTTACTGGCCAAATATAACAGATATAAGCACTAGCCGAGCACTAGCTAGAAAGAACCAGGGAATAAGACATCCAACAGTCTATCCAATCATCCACTTGAAAATTTATACATATGAGAAATGTAAGAATCATGTTAAAGGCCTTAGCTGGATATCCAGACTATACATAGCATATGTTATATATGAATGCAGAATATTCTATTCTTTTTGGCCACATTGAATCCTTTGGAATATGCTCTGTTCTGTGAGGAGGCATACTTTTGAGCAAAACTGACATTTATCTTCTTAGAAATTACCAATTTGCACAGGTGAAGTTTGCTGGAAACAAAATTTTAAATGTATACAAACAAACTGATGCCAGAAAACACAATTTGTAAAAAATTATGCCTTCACATACTGATTATATTTCATAATAAGCAATCTGTTCCCTGATGCTACAAGTAAAAACTGATTTTTTATTTGTCAGCTATATTCAGGAAAATGAGATGCCCCACTAATGTATATATAGTGCATACACCCCCATAGCAATTATGTATTTCTTATACGCCCAACACAAGTTGGCTCTGTATAAGGAGGAGAAAAAGCCATCCTAGAAATGTAGTTGAAAGCTAGTAGGAAGAATAGTTTATCTGCACTGAAATTAGTAATGGATCAGCAGGGGAGGAGCAACAGAGAAGTTTGGTAAGGAGTTTAGGAACAAAGAAACTGGCTACAGAAATGCAGAGCTGTCAAGAAAACTCAGGTTTTATTGTGTCAAGAGGATGAGAAAGAAATTATATAAAAACCCTCTGAGTTGCAAAGGAAAGGAAGGTCTAAGCTAGTATGAGACTGAGAAAAATCATATGAATATATGTAAGACTAGCAGCTGTAAGGTATATTAAGGCTGTTTAATAAAAGACAGGATCTGTCTATACAAGGAAAATAAAAAATCACAGCTGCCTAATTATATGATTTCAAATATAGATTCAGTACCTCATTGTTTTAGAATAAAAGGAGGATATCATTCCTAATCTAATCTGGGCCCAGAGCTGAAGGATTTGACATGATCTATAAACAGTATCATACAGAAAAAGAGATTGGTCATGGATTCTGGCTCATAACTTACTTAAAAATGACAAATTGACCCTCACTATTTTACTGCAGCTCTTATTTAGAGAAGAGCAGCTGACTTTAATGTTCTGAAACAGTCATGCCTTCCTGACAAAAGACTTGTGTGTTGGAAGGATTTCTTTTCTTTTCTATTGAAGATGTGATCAATTTTCTCTCTGGACAAAGTGAGTCCTCGGGCAGAAAACCCACAGCAAGAGGTGGGAAATTCCTCTCTTAAGGTGATTCTTGATTCAAGGACATCCATCTGCAATTGCATTTCTCCTTTCTCTCCTCTCTGCATCCCATTGCAGGCAGTTCCACACCTGTTTTTGACAGTCTGATCAATCAGTGCATTGTACCCTTCTTTGCAAGAGAGGTGGGGTTCTGCCAAGCATGCCCTGATGCTGGCTCCAGAGGCTGTGGCCACATTATAATTTCAGGATTATTCTAGCCCCTCTCATGGGAGCCCTTCTGTCAATATCTTGGATCTTGCTGGAAGAGTGGCTACAAGGGCTGTCACAGGACAACCAACAGCAATTTGCTGACCTGCCATGCCTCTGATAAACACAAGTGACACAGCAATTTCAGATCTAGCAAGGAGAAGCGTCCAAAGCTCACTATCAGGACATCATATGATATTTAATATCACCTTCTGTAAGGATGTTTATACAGCTGACTTATTATATGGAATTTGCAGACATAGGGAGAGGAGAGATAGAACATCAATTAAACTGCTCATTCAGCACTTTCCAAACCTCTCCATCAAAGGAAGAGTTCTTGCCTCACAGTCAGTGGTGATACCAAACATTAAGAATCTATTTTACAGAAAAAGATTAAAAGAATTTGGCTTAGAAATTTGGCTTAGAAAGGGGAAATGTGGAGCAGAGATATGTGACCAGAATTATGGATAAGATTGCTAACATCAGTGAGTTCTTTCTTTTATTTTCTTTTTTTTTTTTTTTTTTTTTTTTGCCCAGCATATTCCTCAAAGCCAGAATCTCAGAATACAAAATGTTTGAAGTGAGAAGCAAATAATAAATTCATGGAGAACATTTCACAGGTAGAAATGACAAATATATATTAGAAACTATTAAGTCAAGGGAGACAAAAAAAATCAACTCAGATGAGAAATGCTTAGATTTATTCTAGAGAACTCCATGAAAACCTGGACAGAAAACCTCCTAAATGTACTCACCGCCCTGGAGAGCTCTTCAGGTGGTCTGTTCCAGCACCAGATCAAAAATAAGGTAAGAATTTTAAATTATTGAAAACTACAACCAACAGAACTTTAAAGCGTA